AATTTTGGCAAAATTAACTTTAAAAGTGGCCCTTTAACTCTGCTAGACTAAAAATATTAACTCCTAAAATAATAACCATAAAATTGTGAAATCATTCCTAATTATTAAAACAAACTACATTATGACATGAAGTTATATATATTGATATTTTCAAAGATTATACTAAAAATAAAAATGGGTAAAATATTATTTTTCTAAAAATACCTAATACCTTAATTAAATAGAGAAAAATGAAACTATTTTTGTATTTTCGAATTTTTGTGATAAAATAAAGTAAAAGAGTCAAAACTAGTTAAAACAGCGATATTTAGACCTAAACTAAATATTTAAGCGCTAAAAAGTGTAAAATCTCGGGGAGGGTAAAAGATTACATGTCTACAATAAGGTTCCGATACGTCGAACCCTCGAAAAATCCAACGGATACAAAAAACACATGCTAAGGCATACAAAATTTTTCACTAAGTCTTTTAGCCGTAAAGAGGGAAAAATTTTAGCCAATTTAGAGGCCGAATCGGCCCTACTTAAAGAGCCTAAGGGCCGATATATAATATCCTAAGGGCCAACAAAAAGAGCCTAAGGGCCAATATAAAAAAGCCTAAAGGCCGATCTAAAAAAGCCTAAGGGCTAACCTTATTTCGAGTGAGCAAATACTCACTCGACTACTAAGCCCAAGGGCTACCCGAGTTCGAGCAAATTCTCATTCGGGGACTATCTATAAAGCCTAAGGGCTAACCTTATTTCGAGCGAGCAAATACTCACTCGACTACTAAGCCCAAGGGCTACCCGAGTTCAAGCAAATTCTCACTCGGGGACTATCTATAAAGCCTAAGGGCTAACCTTATTTCGAGTTCGAGCAAACGTTCACTGGACTACTAAGCCCAAGGGCTACCCGAGTTCGAGCAAATTCTCACTCGGGGACTATCTATAAAGCCTAAGGGCTAACCTTATTTCGAGTTCGAGCAAACGCTCACTCGACTACTAAGCCCAAGGGCTACCCGAGTTCGAGCAAATTCTCACTCGGGGACTATCTATAAAGCCTAAGGGCTAACCTTATTTCGAGCGAGCAAATACTCACTCGACTACTAAGCCTAAGGGCTACCCGAGTTCGGGAAAATTCTCACTCAGGGACTATCTATAAAAGCCTAAGGGCTAACTTTAATTCGAGTTCGAGCAAATCCTCACTCGACTATAAAGCCTAAGGGCTATCTTTCATTTCAAGTCCGAAACATATACCCACTCAATCATTAACCCAAGGGCTACCTTACCTCATCGACTGTTTAGTCTAAGAGCTACTCAAACTCAAGTTTAAACGACCATTCGAGGTACGTTGATCAGAAACGGTCGAGGTCTTTACTTATTTTAGGCCATTACCATCTCAAGTCTGTGAACACTTAAAGGGAATTTTATACTAAGACACTCTGACCCACACAAAGGAGTAACAGATTCCGGAGCCATGGAAGGATAAAAGTTTTGTGTAAACCTATTTACAAGGGCTATAAGTCACGATCAAGGATGCCTCATAAAGGCCGATCAGCCTCAAAAGCGAAGAATCACGAAGAACACGAAACCTAAGCAGCATGATCTTTATCGATAGAAGTGTCTTCATCTTCAGAATCGTATCCACCGCCAGATTCACTAGAGTTTTCGGAGTTTTCCTCAGGAAATGCCAGCGTCGAAGCTTTGTTCCTTTATCGCCTGCATCACGGCGATGGTATCATGATAAGTCCGGGTAAAGACCAAGGACTCAATTCGTTTCTTGTCATTACACTCCAAGAAACGCGGGGACTATCTGTATACGGTAGAAATCGGAGAGCTCAATTTCGAAGACTGGATTACACTCCTTGTCCGAGTTTTGGAAGCTCGAAGTAAGAATCAAGCCAGGATGAGCGCACCTCGAGAAGCAAATCGGGGACCCGTCATGATCTGCCTCAAGGGCAGTACAATTTCGAGGGCACTCAAGAAAGAGTTGGAATTTCTCAAGGATGGGTCAGGGGATAAATTGTAGGATAAGATTTGTACGAAATAGTACAAGTCCATACTAGGTTGTTATACAGCTGTACCAATAGAATTCTTTATCATAATTGGAAATGTACCATATTAGGGTTTCCTCCTCCTATATAAAGGGGACCCCAATCATTTGTAAGATAGACATTATTCACTACAATAGAACATTCCACTCTGCTTCTCTTGTTTAACGTGCTCAACAATTATTCTTCAGCTTTATTGTCTTTACTTTATTGTTCATATTTCATTGTTCTTAGCTGACCTCGAGGTCCCTGGGATAATCAAGCTCGAGGCCCCTATTGCTCCAACAACACTAATTTGGTTCACCAATTCTTCTTACTTAAGCTTAATATTACTTGTATAATCACTAGTATTAGAATATATCACATATCTTTAAAACCACAAATCAAATTTAATTGTTACTCGTATTTTCGAGGTAAACAATACTCTTTACTCCAATAGCAACTTTAGAAAAAAGAAGTTAATTCCTTCTTAAAATATAAAAATATTAAATCTTGTGGACCACAAAAAAAAGTGAATTAAAGTGGACCGGAGGGAGTAATTGTTATTATCATCAGCTGCATTTAAGAAGAAGAATAAGAAGAGCTCCACAACTCAAGAATAAGCTCAACCATGGCATGGCGGGTGGTTTTGCTGACTGTTTTCTTCGATCATATAAATGGGTAGGAATGACATGTATAATTGACTGAATCGTGCATGAAGAAAGATTTATTTTTTTCACAGGGCAACCTCAATCCTTTGGCAATGTTTAATTTATTCATCTTTCTGGTTTTGGGTTTCAAGATCGAATGTCACGAAGGAAATTGGATTATTTCTTTACTTTTAGCTGGATATCTTTAGTTGTAATAGTCTATAAGTTTGTTATTGATCAAATCCGCTTCAAAAAGAAGTCTCGTCGGAATGTAATACTACATTTTAATTTCTGGCATGAATACCGTTATTAGTAAGGTGAAGTGTATAAATAGCCATTTTAGGACCGGTTTTAAAAAATAGCCGGCTTTAAATAGTTTTTAAACTTTAGCCATCCGAAATCAAATTAAGACCTACAGGACTAAAGTTAAAAATCACTAATTTGAAATTTCAAACTTCAACCTTCGGGTCTAAAGTTGAAATTGCAAAAGCATAACCAATCGTGCCTTACATCGATCAAGGGAGCCATCAGACTTCTTTTTTATACGATAGACTCATTTACAGCCAATAACATTAACACTAGAAGGCCGACGAACAAGAGACGATGCCTTATTTGCAAGTAAAGCATTGAACTCCTCTGCGATAGCACTTCTCCATCTTCCTTAACATCAGAGCTGAAACAAGTAGGCTTTACAGGCAAATTAGTCAAAGACATAGAACTAAGAGCGTACTTTGGATTTGGTTTAACCACGCAAAACTTAGATCGAGTAATCATAGGGTGAGTTGAATCAAAAGTTGATGTCTCGGTAATAGAAGCGGGTATAGGACATGGTATCGTGCTAGACAAAGGCAAAGATGGGCGGTTGTGGAGCTAGGTGGAGAGGAAGACAAATTAGTATACTCAATAGGAGAAGAGGACGGACTGGTGGTTGTGGATAGGGGTGTTCATAAAAATTCGAAAAATCGAACCAAATCGAAAATCAAACCAAACCGACCAAAAAAACCGATACTTTTTTATTTGATTTGGTTTTGGTTTTGAATTTTAAAAACCGATCAAATTTGGTTTGGTTTTGGTTTTAATCAAAAAATAACCGAACCAAACCGACTATAGGAGTAGCTATTTCAAATTTATTATTACACCTATATATATGTATATTTTTATACAAAGTTTCAAAAAATTTATGGTGAATGTTAATCGTTTGCACTTTTAGCACAATCTTTTACCTTTATATTCTAGTTTGATTGGTAATTTTCTTTTGTTAAGTGTAAGAACCCATTTCATGTTAAGAAAAATATTTTTTTAATTGAGTCCTTAAATTATTCATCACTATTTGATTCAATTATCATCGATATATTTAGTAAATAATAGATTTCTCAAAGGGCAATTGATTTGATAGTGTTACGTTGAAAATGTGATCGCCGGAATATGTGTTTGGTAGTGTATGTCTTATATTTAAGAAAAAACCGATAAATAACTGGAAAAAACCGAAAACCGACAAAACCCGACATAAACCGAATCGAGAAAAAACCGACTTAATTGGTTTGGTTTGGTTCTAATATTTGAAAAATCAACTTACTTGGTTTGGTTTCTTTTTAGGGAAAAACCAATCTAAACTGAACCATGAACACCCCTAGTTGTGGAGGAACGAGTAGATTCCAGAGATTCTATAGATGTACGACTTGACAATACAGCAAGTGTAGGAAGGAGGACACGAGGCACAGAAGGACGTGCAGGAAGAAAAGCAGATAGATTTGCATATTGAAAGTAATGCTCAATAAAGCAAATAGAATGACTGATATAGACACGGTTAATATCAAGATGTAAACATTGATATCCTTTGTGACTAGAGCTATACCCTAGAAACACGCAAAGAGAAAAAGGAGAACCAACTTTAACAACGATAAGGACGTAGATTAGGATAACAAAGACACCTTCATAGAGAGAGTGCTTAGCTAGAGAGTGAGAAGGAAGATGATTAATATAATAAGGTGAACAGCACTAAGGAAAGCTTCTACCCACAAATAAAGAGGTGCATGAGCATGGAAAAGTAAAGTGTCGTGCAACATCAATGATATAACGGGGCTTGTGCTCTGCTATACCATTTTGTTAAGGTGTGCATGGGACCATGAGAAGGAGAAGGGAGATAAATGAGGAATTTTGATACTCACCCCCTCCATCGGAACAAATGCCTTAATAGACCCACCAAATTAATTTTCAACAAGAAGTTTAAAATGGATAAAACAAGATATTATATCACTTTTATGACAAAGATGATAAATCCAAGTATAATGAGTGAAACCATTAATAAAAAGTAGTACATAATATTGATAACCACTGACTGAGGGCACGGAAGAATGCCAAACATTAGAATGAATTAATACAAAAACATAAGAAATACTTGAACTACTTAAAAAAAATGACAAAACCAAATATTTAGAACTAAGCAAGAGTTACCTATAAAAGAATTAGAAAAAGTCATAGAAAATGAAATAAACTTTCTAGATCTAAGTAAATCTAAGATAACATGACTTGGATGCCCCAAGCGTGCATGCCAAATAGGCACCGAGTCATGTAGGACAACAAAGGTAGATGGCTGAGCAAATGATGATAAGGTAGAGGAAGACTAAAAAGGATAAAGAAGCCCATCAGTGCGGGAGTAATGCAGAACTTTCCCGATCGCCAAATCCTTGACATTAAAACCCCGAGGAAGAAAGTTAATCGAGCAATTATTTATATATAGATAATAAATTCTTGCAAAGTTCAGAAACATGTAAAGAAGGGGATAAGTGAAGGAACAAGTAGGAGTAAAAAGAGAGGAAGAACCAATAGCAGTAACGGGAATACGAGTACCATTACCAACCAAGATAGATTCATTTGAAATAAGAGAAAAAGAAGAGAGATTACCCGAATCATAAATCATGTGTGTAGTTGCTCCAGAATACAAGTACTGATTCTTGTCTGGTGGAGACTGCAATGAGAGTGCTGCCATATTTGCCTGAAGATTAGGAGAAGTATAAGCATAGTCATAGTGCTAAGGACAAGAAAGTATTGTGTGACAAGAAAAATCACAAATTTGACAATCATAGTAAGTAGAAATGGGAGAAGGAGCCATAAATACAGGCAAATGATAAGGCGAGGGAGCCAAGATACCACGAGCAGAGGTAGAAAACGGGAAAGGACCACCACTAGGAACCCCAAAAAGTGGCTGGCTATAATAAAATTGCGAAATAGTGCCACGGCCAAAATCGCGACCACGACCACCTTCTCGACCACGACCTCGACCACCACCACCACCTCCCTAATGTCCAGATGAAGCAGAGGAAAGAGGATCAACCGTAGTAGAAACCAAAGTTGTAAGAGCTGATACTAGATCAGGAGAGGCTGGTGTACGAGTCTCATGAGTATGGAGCATCGTCCATAGCTTAGAAAATTGAAGAGCATGACGCATGTGCTGTCACACCTTCTTTTTCCCCAGGGATAGTGAGTTTTTCCAATTAGAGTGACATTATTCGAAATGAGATTATTTATTTAATTTAGAGTCGCCACTTGGAATAATTTATGGTGTCCCAAGTCACCGGTTTATTTTAAATCCAAAATCGAGGAAATTTGACTCTGTTTTATAGTCCGCGGAACACAGAAGATCGGATAAGTAATTCTGTTAACCCGGAAGAAGGTGTGAGGCACTCCAAATTTTCGTGGTTTTAGCACGTCTCTCAACAATTAATAGTTGGCCTAATTATCTGATTTATTACACGTTTAAAACCTATTGTGCATTTTTTACTTTTTAACCGCTTTTAATATTTATGGAATTTATTTAAATAAGTTGCGATATCGCGCACTTATTGTTTTTGTACACATTGCGAATCACGTCATATGAAATGCACCCCCGATTTACAACATGTTTATTTTTATTATTATTTGAAGTTATGGTCGAGTCACGTGAAACGCACACTCGAATTGGGGATTATGTATCATGACATGCCACGGGAACCGTACTCATAGTCATGATAATTTATTTAAACACGTCTAAAGTAAGCTACGATATTCGAATTAACAACTTACATTTGGGATTGTTGTGAAGTCACGAAATATGGAATTTATTTGGGGAAAACATGCACATTAGTAATTAGCTTAAACTAATTTGTGAAGTATTTTAGTCTTTTTTTTTTTTAAAAGAAATTTAAACTACAATGATGATTCTGATGACATTAGCATAAACTTGATTCCAGTGAGATGATAGATATAGTCTGAGACGATAAAGAACTCAAACCAATTCTAAATCTACTTACTTTGCAACTTGGGGCTAACCAACAGAAAATCATGGAAAAGGGTGGTCATGGGCCCAACATTTTTTCATACAGTGGAGCCTTGATAAAATATTCACATTAGGGTCCAAAAGCTCCTTCACCATAAGGCAACGAAAACTGGTCCCATTGGAGCATCGGGCCCAGTCAATATGAGCCAACAAGACAACTTAGAATTTTGAGAATTAGAATATCTAATCAATTCATAACATTATCAAATTAAACCAATATTATGCTAAATAACAATTAATCAGAAATCACAAGAATTTCAGTTTGAACAAATTTGAAATACATTAATGAGCCATTCTATCAACTGCAACCATTATTTACAAACTTGCATCAAAAATAAAAATTTCAAACGAACTCTTATACTATTGCTTCCAGCACTGGATATGAGCAGCCTTTAGAATCGCATGTTCAAGCTCCGTAACTCATGACTTTGTGAACCAGACACCTCACAGAGATGGATCTGACCAACAGGTGGTCAGATACATCACTTAGTCATTCTGAACCTTCCTTCAAGTGTGAATCACCATTAATATTGAAAATTTTAACAGACAGCAAAGATTCAGTCAACTTAGACTTAATTAGGACATACATGTTACTTATCACAACAAAGAAGTTCAAAATGTGAAATTCATTTATGAAACAATGAAAGCATTACGGATACTCTTAGGGGTCGTTTGGTAGGGCGTATAAGAATAGTGCTGAATAAGGTATATTAATAATGCAGGGATTAGTAATGCATGGGTTAGTAATGCAAGTATTCGTTATGTAGAGATTATGTTTATCCATTGTTTGGTGTGGTGTATTACAAATTAAAATGCATTGCAAATGTCCTCTATATTCTTTAGCTTTAACGGACTTTAAGGACAACTTTATCTTTAACCATGCTAATGCATGCATTAATAACCTTGGTATTGCTAATACCACGGTTTGCTATGCATTAGCTATAATAGGATAATACCAAATATGGTGTATAACTAATGTTTGTATTAGTTATACATAGATTGAAAAAGTGTACCAAACAAGATATTACTAATACACAAAACCAATGTATGAATTATTCTCTCTAATGTACTCTACCAAACGATCTCTTAGTCTTACTTCATAAATTTTGCAAAGAGCAGGCAGAAATTCAAATGCTTAAACCACATTTTACAACCACAATCCAATCAGATGCTAATAACAGAAATCTAATAAAGAATGAACTGATTTCAATGTCATAGCTATTATTTCTACATAAAAGCTGTAATACATCCAGAAAACTATCAAAGAGCTTATATTGAATTACCTCCAAATAGCTTAAGGAGAAGAAATTATGACCAAATGAGGGTTAGCCACTCCACAGCTAAATGCAGAAAATCAACAAATACTCTCAGCAAACTAAGAACAGCAGAATCAACCACCACTCGAAATCCCACCAGAATTGAAACAAAAACCAGTAGAAAATAAAAGGAATGAGAAGCAGCTTTGAATTAATTCTTTTTGTTATGTTTTCTGTATCTAGACTTGAACGTTCAGCTTCTTCTTTTTTAGAAAAAGAAAATAAGTGTGGGTGAGGAAATCAGTGCGAGGTTTTTTTCCAGAAACTTTCGTGTGCGTGTGAGGGAAGTGTGAAGTCTCTTTTATAGAGTGTAAGAGGAAAAGGGGAGAGGATAGAAAATGATCTTGTCAGCTAAAAACTAGGGGAGGGCGTCTGTTTTTTAACAGAAAATGGACAGCTGACCTATTTTTAACAGTTGTCCTTTTCACTATTTTTTCCAGCACCTTCCCCTTTTTTAAATTAGCCTTTTTACCCCAACTTCTAACCTAATTTATGGTTTTCATTGCACTTTAACCCCCTTTCTAGAAGCTTCCTAAGTAACTACTCAGATTCCCTAATTTTGGGGTACTCTTTAATCCCCTCAGTTCTTGCAAATAACTTTTCTTTTAACCTTTTCTGTTACCTCCAAACATGCTGCCTTCTATCCAAAATACTGTTCTTTTTCCCTTATCAGGATTAAACTAAACTAAGCTAAACTAACACTAGGATAACAACACAAACTAAACCTGAATTATAACCTAATTAACGTGTTAATTAGGAAAACAGATAATTTAAACAAACAACACGATTTTCAAATGATTTCAGATTCAACTAAAACAAATAACCACTTAGAAAGTCAAAATAATTTTAATTATTAACCTAAGCATGCTTGGATTAACAAAAATCACCAATTAAATCAATCACACACTCACATGGAAGGCATGTATTTGAAATACTAATCTAATCGGGCAATTAAACACACAAAATGCTATTTTAGTTCAAGGCAAGACAGTGGTGATGCTGCTATATTTTGCTAAAATGAATTAACTTGAACAATTACAATTAATATAAAAATTAATCTGAACTACCGACATATTAGCGAGAAAAGAGCAGAGGAGAGAGATACCTATAGTGCTCAAACGGATTGTCAAAAGAAAGTGATTTTCGGCAAGCCGGAGAAATTGCTACACAAACACTAGCCGGATTTCTCCATGCGAGACAGTGTTATATACAGCAAATATCTCCTACTGGCCCGATAAAAGGAAGCGAAACAAGGCGGGGATGATTTGTGCAAACAATGGAGCTTGACCAAGGTTCTGGTGGTCATAAGATCAGTAAAGATCATGCAATCATCAAGAGAAGTCGACTAGTGTAGGTTCCGATCCCAAATGAGCTAGAATTAGGGACAAATTAAAAAGGGAAAACTTTAGGGTTTCTGCGATTTCTTAAATTTAAAATTAAAGGATTTTGGGGAGGTTTCTGGGGAAATTGGTAGGGGATTTGGGATTAGGAGGGGAAGGATATTGTATGGTGATAAAATGGGGCCATTTGCTGTGGTGTCGCCGCCATAGGGCGATTTTCGGCGACGACATTGGCATAAGTTAGGAGAGGGGTAACAGATTGAGAGATGGGGGAAATGAAAGGGGGTTCTAGGGTTTGGGGGTCCAATTCGGACAATTATAAGTGATTGGGATGGGGAGTTCCTGGTCGTTGGATGAATCTCGATGGATGGTAGGGATTAAAAGATAATAAAACGGGGTCGTTTGATTATTTTAATGATGAGAAACGGACTGGGGTGGGGTATTTGGTGCGGACTGGGCGGATTTGCCCAATTTGGGCCTCTGAGGTGCTTGGCCCAACACAAGCAAAAGCCTTGTTTTCCTTTCTTTGTTTCTTTTTTTTTAATTTTAAATTCTAAACAAATCAATTAAAAATCCTAAATTAATTCCTAACCTAAATCTAATTTACCAAGTTAAACCTACTTACCTATAATAACTTAACACTAATGAAAGGAAATTTTCAATTTAAAACTAAAAGCTAAAAATATAGAAATGACCATTGTATTTTTTTTGATTTTCGTTTAATAATGCAATTAATATGTGATTAAATTCTAAAAATACAATTAAAATTTAAAATGCTATGCAATGAAGAATTGAACATTTTTTTGACTATCTCCTCCTCAGGAGGTGTGACAGAGGGTTGTCCAAGGATTGTAAGGTTATTCCAGGTGAGATACTCGCAACGCAACATAGGCTCTTTGTGATGGTTGTTGGTATTATGTTAAAGAGAAGGAACAAGAATCAGGTGGGGTGCGTTGACTAAGGATAAAGCCCGGGAGTTGGAGGGCGATTGTCGGATATGGGAGCCGGGAGGAACAGTGGTGACGAGAGCATTATGTGGTCGAAGACAACAGACTGTATAAGGGAGGCTGCGAGAGAAGTGGTAGGGATCTCGACTGGCATCGCTGGCTGGCACAAAGGAGACTGGTGGTAGTGGTCCAAGGAAAAGTGGAAGCGAAGAAGGCGGCATACCTAAAGTTAGTAGGGAGAACATGTGAGGAGGAGAGGAGAACGTGCATAGAGTGGTATAAGGTAGCTAGGAAGGAAGCTAAGCTGGCGGAATTGGGGGGAAAAGGCGGAGAGAAGAAGCTATTCTGGCTGGCCAAGACGAGAGAGAGGAAGGCTCAGGATTTGGACCAAATGAGATGCATCAAGGACGACGATAGTAGAGTATTGATGGAGGATGCCCAGATTAAAAGAAGATTGCAGACTTACTTTCATGAATTTCTGAATGAAGAAGGGGATCGGGATATTGTGCTAGGTGAACTGGAGCATTCCGAGAGTCACCGTGACTTTGGTAAGTGCAGGCGCATCGAGGTTGAGGAGGTCGTGGGCGTTGTGTGT